CCGCCGTCCCCTGGGCTCGGCCTCTCCTGCTCTCCTCGGGGCAGAGGCAGCTTTGCATTGCCCCGTCCAGCTCCAGCAAGCCCCGTGGGCCTGACCCCGCGGTGCGGGAGCCCTCATGGGGAGCGAGCCCAGCCTGTGGCCAGCTTGGAGAGGGGCTGCCCTCGGGACAGTGCCGGCCTCTGGCTTCCCGTGACCCCGGCCGGAGAGCGTGGGCTGTGGAAGAGGAGCAGGTGCGGCTGTGGGCAGCGGAAATCCTCCTGGCCTTGGAGGGACTTCACCAACAGGGTGTGTTGTGCCGGGACCTCAACCCCAGGAACCTGCTGCTGGACGCGGCCGGTACGTAGTGCCCTAGGCTGCTGCCCTGAGGAGGAGGAGGGTGGCCTCTCGGCCAGGAGGCTGCTGTGTGCCCCATTTCCAGGGACGCAGACTTCGCTGAGCTTGCTTTGGGGGAGAGCGGGAGTCTGGGGAGGGCTGGATGTTTCTGAGCCTGGAATTGTGGTCTCAGGTGGGGTTTCCAAGCAGTTGTTACAAGAGATGGCTCTGCAGTGGGCGAGCTGGGGCCCACAGCCACAGGAATGCATTGCCCCCGCACCCACGTTGGGGCTGGCTGCCTGGGAAATCCCAGGACGGGGAAGCTGAGACCAGCTGAACTGTGCCCGAAGTTGGTGGGATTGCAGCTTTCCCCTGCTTGTAGTTACTGCTCACTGGGGTATTCTGGAGCCTGCCCATCCCCTCAAGCCATGGGTACCACTGTCAGTGCAAGCCGAGTGCATGTCCCTGCTCAGCTGGCAACAGCTGGGGCAAACTGGAGAGCTACAAATTGCTTAGGAATAGAAAAATGCCCAGAGCTTTGCAAGGGGAAAGCTGACCTTCCTCCCTTTGGCACTGCGTCTCTCCTCGCTGGAGCCTGGCCTGAGGGCTGTGAGCTTGGAGCCCAACCTAAGCAGTCTCACCAGCTGCATGGGCCTGCTGGGTGTCTCGGGCGAGCACTGGGAGGCCGGGGGATGCGCAGTGCCAGGGCATGCGCAGTGCCGCTGCGTTCAGGGCACGGCAGGGACCCGGCGCCCTGGCTGGTGCCAGCTGTGGGGACAGGGCTTGGCTTTGTGCTCTGACCAAAGTCCCTAGCTTTGTCCTAACCTCCCTGCTTTTGGCTCCGGCACTTACTCTGCAGGTCATGTTCGTCTCACCTTCTTTGGCCAGTGGACAGAGGTGGAGCCCCAGTGCTGCAGCCAGGCCCGGGACGAGCTGTACAGTGCCCCCGGTAAGGGACGTGGCCCCTGCCTTCTCCTGCCCTCAGCCTGGCGCTGCCAGCCAGGGGAGAGGGGGCTTCTGCAGGCAGCAAGATGTGCCCAGCACGGCACAACCACGGCTCTAACGCCTCTCTGGCTCTTTCTGCAGAAGTTGGGGGGATCATGGAGCCCACCGAGGCAGCTGACTGCTGGAGCTTTGGCTCTCTCTTGTACGAGTTGCTGACAGGAGTGGTAAGAAGCAGAGGAGCTGTGCACAGAGTGGGGGGAGAAGGAGGAGGTGACGCCATAGCCCAAGAGCTCCCTGCCGTGCAGGGTGCATTGCCCCTGCTGGCACCTCAGCACTGTGCCAGGTTACTTCAGGCGTGTGATTCCTGGTGCCTGTGCATGGTCTCTGGTGGTCAGGGCCCCAGGTTTTAAATCCTGCTGTGCAGAGCTGGGGTTGTGTGGCGATGAAGGCTCAGCGGGGTGCCCCTGCTCACCATCACCCCCTGCCTCCTGCAGCCACTGTCCCAAAACCACCCTTCAGGGATTCAACTTCACACCCAGCTGCATCTGCCGGAGCGGCTCAGCCTGGCTGCTGCATCACTGCTCACTGAGGTGAGGGCTGGGGCAGATGGGAGGGAGGACACGGCAGAGGCTGGGGAAAGGCAGGATCCAGCCTGGGCAGCTTTTCCAGCAACCCCATTTCCCCATCCTGCTGTCCCATCACCTTTCTCCGCAGCTCCTGCAGTACAACCCGAAGCAGCGTCTGGGCTCTGGAGGAGGTGGCATGGCGAAGCTCAAGTCCCACTCCTTCTTCAGCACCATCCCGTGGAACAAGCTCGTGGGCTAGGCAGGCAGTGCTTCCTGTGGGGAGCTGGGCGCAGAGCCACGGTCCCTAGCGCTTGTGTCCCCCAGTGGCACTGGCAGCTGTGCCTGCCGGGGGAGGTTGGCCTGCACAGGCTGCCCCACGGTGGGGTACGCATGAGGCTTTGCAGCCCTACGTTTTCTGTCTCTGTGTTTGATGGAGTCTGCGAGAGAGGCGGCTGCAGTCTGGGCCAGGCTGTCTTCTCCTCTAGGTCCTCCCTGGTGGGAAAGAGAGCCCAGGTGCCCACCACTGGGCAGAGACCACGCTCCCCTTCTGGGGCATCCCTTGCTCAGCTGAGCACTCACCCTAGGACTCCCTCCCTATGGTTTTTATCTCTGCTGCTATCACAGTGACCCACCCCCCTGTTATTTTTTTCTGGCTTCCAAGTGCATCTCCTCTGGGCCCCACTGGCTGGTGCCTGAGCCCCTGCTGGCAGCATGTGTGTGGGTAATGCCTGCTGCAGGGGCGAGACGGGCGGACCCCGCTGCTCTTCTCCCCCCGGCCCTCTGAAAAGAATAAACCACTCGTTATCGCTTGCGGAAGTGTCCTTTTGTTTCTGAGCTGGACCAGGGAGGCCTGGGCTGAGCGAGGGAGGACCCCAGATCTGTCTCAGACCTGTGTGGGAGCCCTGCAGCCAAAACCTGGAAGGTGGCACCGGGGGCCCTGCCAGCTCCCCTGCCTGCACCCTGGCCTCTTGGATCCACACAGCCGCCTGGCTGCAGCTCGGAGCCGGGAAAACGCACGGAGTGCCTGTGCTTCCTTCCAGCCTCGAGTGCTGTCGCTGCTGCCCAGCCTGGCTCCTTTCTGCCTGCCGGACTGCAGCCCCCACTGCCCTTGGCTATCTGCTCTGAGCACAGTCACTCCTGGTAGAACAAACAGCAAGGGTTTGAAGGGATCAGCTCTGAGAACCAGCACTGATAGGAGGAGGGTAAGAGCAAATACAAGCCAGGATGGAAGGAAAAGCAGCGCAAACACAAAAGTTGTCTGCTACCAGCCCAGGGCAGGAGCTGCTGTGGGCATCTGTGCCAGTCAAAGCCTGGGCTGAAGGATGAGCTAGCCTCGGCCCTCCTCTCCCAGCACTCCCATTGCTCACCCGTCCCGACAGCAAGGAATTACTGGCCGTGAAAGTGAAACTTTCTGGTGGCTAGCTGGCTCCAGCTCCCTCTTGCCCCCGGCAGCAACACCCGGCTCCTTGCCGACTTGGCTCCCGGGCACCAGCAGGAGCACTCGGCCACCGGATAGGGATGGAGCCTGGG